GGTTAATGATTTGAAAGTAGATGTGTCAAATAACTAGACGACAAATGCATTACACTTTTTTTCTTTCCTATGAACATAACCTCGTTAACTCTTTTTTCCCATATGATGAATCATAGCTTTATTTATTGGATAATTAAGAATGCAGGACACAGCTCTATGTCAGGCGAAGCATTGTTTCAGAATTGATCATATCTCTGAAGATATTTCTTGATTGAAATCATTATTTTATTTTTCCATATTTCGCTTTGATAACACTATAAAAAGAATCTTGATAATTGTTTATAGTGTAGTACCGTAGAGTGAGATGAAGAAACCAAATCAAAACTAGAGTTTCTCTTAATTTTTCTCTGATTAGATACTTCAATGATGATAACCTCGCGTTATTTGTCAGCATTAACTAACGGTAGTCCACAGTTTTGTCGTGGAGGCAACTGTTACACACCAGAATACTACTATGAAGCTTTTCGTTTGAACGTCTCGACAGCTGGCTTATATTACTTCAGAACTAACAGTAGTATGGATACATATGGGTACATCTACAATACGAATTTCAATGCCTTTGATCCGTATACAAAGATGATACCTTACGATTACCAAGTAGTCGACAACAATCAATTTGTTATGAAGATTTTTATTGATACTGTGGAAAGTTACATTTTGGTTGTAACGACATATTACCCAAATAAAGCTGGCGCCTTTTCAATAATTGCCTTCGGTTTGGCATCCGTCGTGTTTTCTCCAATTGATGTGTCAAGTAAGCACTCAACGGTTTTTTCAGAACATCCGTTTTAGGAAACAAAAAAAAATAATCATGCCACAATGAATCTATTCAGTTATGGAGCGTATTGAATACAGCAGCATAAAGTAATGCAGTTCAAATAAAGTGAAGATGTTCGGTAAAATCTAAGTTTAGGAATAGGTACACCGTAAGAAAGAATCCATAGAATAAAAAACGTTTAAAGGGTTAATGAAAGTGCAACGTATCATAAACCCTTTTCAACCGTTTATTTAGGATGTCATAAAGTTTTTCAGTTATCTCCGGAGAACGGTTTAATCATGAGTTGAGCGTTCATGGCGATCATGAATGGTCGACAGGGTCTATTAGAAGGTTTATTAAACGGGTCGTTGACTTCATCAACTGCCTTGAGGGTTTCTGATAGGGTATAATAAAAGGATCATTGGCTTCGTCTACTGCTCTAAGCGTTTCTGAGAAGGTATATTTAAAAAATTATTCACTACATCCACTGCTCTTTGGGTTTATGATAGGGTGTATTACGGCAACTATTGACCTTATCAACTCCTCCTAAGGGTTTATTGACTTCATAAACTATCTAAACAGTTTATAATAAGGTTTATCGAGAGGATTATTGATTTTATCAACTGCCCTAAGGGTTTATGATAGGGCATATCAAAATGATTATTGGTTCCGATTATCGCTCTTAAGGTGAAGGATAGGATGTATTCAATGAGTCAAGAGTAGTATACATAGTTTCTGGAAATTGATGAATGAGCAAAAAGGATGAGTTTATCACGACGATCAATTATGCTATACAGCTATGGGAGAGACATTCCGAAATTGTTATATAGCTTTTATGATTTTATGAATTGCACTCTTGCTATACATAACATTCGATAGTAGATAACCTGATAGTATGAGACTCACGAAAATTCCTAAGAAGCTCATATCTACCATTAGCTGTAAGATTAAAGGTTCGTGTATAGTGGATCTTACACTTATTCATCTTTTATAAACGAATCTTTACTAACTAAGAAAAGAGTGGAATTAAAAAGCCCGAGGATTGTTCTACTAAAAAATGAAAATCTAGCACAACCAATAAAGTATTATAGAAATTGCAGTGAACTCATTAGGATCCTATGA